ATGTATAATATTAGCCTTGTGAAGTGCTCGAATTATAGAAGTGCTGTCACAAATGGCCGAAAACATTTCTTTTATATATGTCAAAACAAATACAATGGGCAAGAGAATATTTAAAAAAAAAAAAAAAGGAAATTCAAAGGGAAAGTTGTGAAAAACAGAAGAGGCGATCACTGGTCCCCGCCTCCAGGCTCTCTAGGCGCAACCTCTATATCCACTGGTTGGTCGCCGACCACTCGATCAACTGTTGGGTCCTCAGGGACGTATGCCTCTGACTGGTCATCCTCCGGAGGAGGCTCTTGTCCCTCTTCCTTCTCAGCATCATCAGTTTGGGCTATGGAAACAAAGATGTCCTGGTATTCATTTGGGAGGTCGGAGAGGTCCATCATCGGATTCCTTGGTTGTAAGTTGTAGATGGCCTGTATTGCCCAGTCAGTAGCTTTCCTCTCGAGTTCAAGGTTTTGTCGTTTCATCTGTTCAGTAAATGAAGTGACTTGCCCTTGGAGTAGCTCGAGATCCACCTCCAAAGCCCTTTTTCTGCTTCTTCGAGTTTTCCCACAATTGAGCTCTGTCCTCCTCCGCCTTCCTAGCACACTTAGAGTTCACCTTCAGCTCATTCTCTTTCTCACCACACTCTTTGGTAAGTCTGGCCACTATCCTTTGGAACTCCTTATTCTTCTCGCCTCTCTTCTCAAGCTCGACCTTCTGGAAGTCCACTGTGCGAAGGGTAGAATTTCTCTCCACCAAGTATTGATTCGTTTGAATGTGGACCGTTTTCACCTCTACGTCTAGAGTCGCGAAGTCCTGTTTCAGTTTGGTATTCTCTTCCCTCAGCTCGTGGAATCCTCCAGCAAAGTCCATATCGATCTTCTGTTTAGTCATGTGTAAGGTAAGTAAGGACTGTATGAGAAAAGAAACAAGAGTTAGCCTCCTGTTTTCCCTAAAATCATAAAAGTTAGAAAATCAACTGATACTAAAAAGTCCTCGACAAGAACAAATTGTTTTACCCGGCTTTGCAACTGAAGCGCAATAGCCACTAGGTCCGCAGGCCGAGAAACCACAAACTCCTTGAAGGCCATAGCCAGTTGGCATTCCAGCAAGGTATATACCATCGGTTTTATGTGTTTTGGCAGCTGCCCCATGGAATCCAGCACAAACGGCACAAGTCCTTGAGGAATAGGCACCTTATCAACCCGATGCTTGCCCGTTCTCCTTGGGCAACCGCGACCTCCCCTTCTCCTCTGCGTGAGCTCTCGGGGATCGCTAAAGTGCCAAGGGTACTCCTCGGGGGCACCCCCGAGCGGAAAGTCTGGTAAGGCTACGATCCCTCTGGTAGCATCCTGAAGCTCTCCGGCTCAAACTCAGATTCCTCCTCAGTAAGCAGTTGCTTCCTCTTCTTGGTCTTTTGGCCCATGGTTTTCTGCTTCGCGACTATGAGCCACGGGCCGAGAAGCCTTTCCACGTCACTCCATGGATGTTCGCCTTTCAGCACCAATCTATATCCTTCCTTCAGGGATATCACCGGGGGTCACCTTAGTTGGCTCGGTCGGATCGACCTGGGGAAATATGAACCCCCAGTCCTCGTCGACGGCTTTGGAACCCTGGGTGGCATGGTCACTGCGTGCCATGAAAATATGCTAGCGAAAAGGTCACCTCTAAAAAAAAGGTCCTAAGTGTGAAGATACTTACGGGCTAGAGGTTCCAAAGATGCAAAAAACCATACTTTCGCAAGTTGGCAATAGTCACGAGCAGTCTTTCGTCGCGACTCTGCTTGGGTAGACGACCGGATGTCACAATTCGGTTAAAGTCTGTTAGAGTCATCAACCTGGTCGTCTTATTTTTTGCAAAGAGACAAAAAGTTCGTTAATTTCATCAATAGAAGAGGAGCTGAAGAAAAAGGGACAGTTTGCAAATCGAAGGAAAGGAAAACCTACTCAGCTCCCTAAATTGGCAGACACCATCGTATTCAAAAAAGAAAAATTTGGTCTCATAAGCCCCGACATTACTTGGGTAGCCAAATATTCCTCCCTCGATCGAAGATTGCTTCGAGAGGTAATAAGAGTTTTTATCTTTGTTTTTCTTCAAATAGTAAGAGCATGCAGGCTCCAGCGCTGTCAGCTCGCCAAGACCATTTTCGCCACATGCGATATACATAACAACAACTATCATATACGCATTAGGCATCAATTGTAATGGTGCGACCTCGAAGTGGTCAATGATCGATCTGATGAAGGGATAAAAAGGTATCAACACCCTTCACTTAAAGATTGCCTCGGAGATCGCGACCATTCCCTCTGGGGGATTTCGAGCTGTGTATGTCCTATGCTAGTAGACATCTACGTTAAGCGTGAACTGGTCGACCACTTTCTGTATCTCGTCCCTGGTGGCCATTGATAATGTCTCTTACACGGGACTTGCTGAGGAACCCGGTGCCTGCGAGCTCGTCCCCTCGGCTGCTCCGGTCGCTGAAGTGTCCATTGCTCCTAAAGTCTGGAAAAGGGACGACATACAGAGATGACTCAGTTTTTGTATAGTGTCTCGTACGATGATGTGGAAGAGCAAAAGAAACCCTAATTTACCTTTCTTAACCCCTAGAAAAACCCTAAAAACCCTTGAGAATGAATTCCCAAGAATCCGTGCCCCAAGTTCTCACTTTTTATGAAGAAAAAAGTTATCTTTTTACCACTATCTAGGAACATGCATCGTGTAAGCTTACTAGGCAGTTCATACCCACCATTACCATAAAGTCAAGCTTTTAACAAAAATAAAAGAGGAAAACAAAGGAGAAGTCTTCCTTACCTCTTGACTGCTAGGGACGAACTTCCTGTCGTAACGAAGAGTGCGCATCAACTGGAAGAAGAACAGATCGATTTCGCGAGTGCAAGAGTTTTGTTTTTCTCTCTGAAAATGTGAGTTATGTGATAAAACTTGACGCGAACCCGGGGTTTCATAGGGGGAAAGATGACGATTGGTTTCCCTAGCGAGTGATGCTTGGGCCGGATATGTTTCTCGCCATTGATTACAACCACATATCGTTAATCCACGTAAAGAGTAACCTTCATGCTTCGTGGATACCAATCGACGTTTCCCAGTAACCAAGCATCAGTGCGGTTACCTCCTCCACATTAAATGCGCCTTCATCTGTATTTAATGCTGTGAAAGGGAATGTCGTTTTAGCATGGCTTACATTTAATGCGCATGGTTGGCACTTATTGCGCAAGAGACATGTCTATCAGAATAAAGTTTATTTTATTTACCTGACCAGCTATCAAGCGCAACAGTAACATCTGAAGAGGTCGTTCGAGTAAAACACTCTTCGCCATGTATTGATTTCGAGACGATGTGATCCCTTGTTTTCGGTAAAAATGTGCTAAGTATTTTCAGGTCACGAGCGACGGATGAACTTCAAAGCATGTTGGTACAACACTAAGCAGGGCCAGGCCCAGGTCATTGAACCTGTGGGAGAAGGTCGCCTCAGCTCGCTTGTGCTATTCTTAGAGACCTATGTTGTGACCTCCTTACAGCTCGTTGGTCGGGTTGAACCACTAGTTTCACATTATCTTAACTGCTTGTTTCATACAACTCGATCATGCATCACTCAAGATAAGTCAGGTCACGGCATAATCATGAAGTTCTCAAGGTTCAATCCTTAAACCTTAAATGGGAGGCTTCTGCTATGCCTAGTAAATCAGGGCTAACGTAAGCTCACGCCAGCAAGGGCTAATCAGAATTCAGGAAGGCTTTGTACCGTCCAGACGCTACAACGTCGCGCAAGGACAGGAGAGGTAAGGCTGTCATCAGTGTGGCAGGTGAAAGCTTGGCTTGTGAGTGGCTAAGAATTGTCCACCTGCCCAAGCCCTACGCGATTTAAGGATATATCATGTACGGTTAGCCAATGGGAAGCGGGTTAGGAATTATACCACATCTGCCTGACTGCAGAATCATGATTATTACCTTGAATTCCTCGACTATAAATAGAGGGTTCCTCTCTCATTTAGGGGATTCACTCCTTTTTAGTTTTCAAAAGCAGACTCTCTCTCTATATTTAAATTCTCTCTAGATTGTAACTCAACTCTATGTACGCGACCTGACTGTAATCACCCATTAATACAATTCTAGTGGATGTAGGATTCACTTTTGAGCATCCAAACCACTTTAAAAATTGTCTCTTATTTATTCTCTCGTTGCACATTTCTATATCACATGTAATTTTTAAGTGCGCTTATCACTTTACACGTGCGAGTCGTTGATGTCAAAATCAAGCATCAACAAGCTTGTTCAGAATGAAAGTTATGATAAATAAATAAAGATTCTGGCTTTTCACAAGTTTACTTTTTTTTTAATCTCAGATTTCTTTTTTTTTTTTTTTTTTTATTGTCCTTTTTAATGTGTAGAAAAACCTTACTTTGATATGACTGAGTTTGGAACAGATACATTTACTGATTTACACTTAAACCCATTTAATTGTCTCGAATTAGTCTTATATTATTTTTTTTTTTTTTCTAATGGCTGAGTAGGAGCTCTAGTGACCACTGCTATTAGGGACTGTGACAACTCAAACTCGAAATACCATATTAGATCATTCTCTTACACTTTTATCATCAGATCATTGAAACTCGAAATACCATATTAGATCATTCTCTTATACTTTTATCATCAGATCATTCAATGGTAGTTAACTAATCTCATACTTGGTTAGTTCTGAGTACACAGGTTTGAGAACCAAATTGGCATCCCAAGTGTCATTTACGTGTATCAATGCTGAGGTTAGAGCCAACCCAGTATAAAATGGCCCAATCAATCAAATGGGCCAGGCTCAGACCTAGCCCAGAAAGTCCAGTTAAATTTTATAAATACTAGCGTCATGGTCAACAAATGTGCATATTCCTAACCCTAACGTCGGGACAGACACGGCCGCTCTCTAACTTCGCCATCTTCGTCTTCCTCTGTTTCTTCTTCTTATTTTGTTTGTTTGGATTTATGTAATTTACAGTTTGTGCTTGGGCAAAGATGAAGAGTGCTTTATGTTCTGACACCTCTTGTATGAGAAGAGCTTTACCGCTCTTCTTTGAGCACAGATAGCAACTCTCTGAGCCAACTCTTTCATTTTACTATTCTTTATTATTCTTTTCCGTTTACACGAGAACGAATCGGTGTCTTATACTTGTATATAGGCATCGGTTTTTTGGGATGTCTTTCTCAAGAATGTGCAGTATAAACGCCATGTCGTTTAAAGAATTTGCAGTATTATGGATGAGCAGATTAATGCTGTGTCTTTTAAAGGAATTAATCTTTTGTTTTAGATTTCACAATTTCTTTTATAAAATTTTTCGAAAGTTTTGCTTTTTTATTTTCTTGCAATTTAATTTTAATGTTATTAGTTTATATTAATCATTTTATTTTGGAGATTTAAGAGATGAAGAACTGGCAAAGAGGTGAAGAAATATTCCTTATAACTTTTCAAAGGAATAAAATAAAAGATTTATTAAGGCATTGCAAATGGGAAACATATGGGCAATCAATGAAAGAACATGCTCTATCTTAAATCCTCGGTAAACTTGAGCAAATATACCTCCTCCTAAAATTGATTATAACAAGGTCTAAGCGTTCTTGACATGAGAGTTGTAAGCTTCTTGTTTGACAATTCAAATGGCATAGATATAATGTTTGTATTTCCAGATAACTTGTTTTTTGGCATTCCCACTTGGCTTTCTAGCCTTTCTGCCTCATCTTCTCTTTTAATGACTTTATCAAAGCAAATATATCTTCCAAATCCAGTCTTGTTCATCGCTTCATATACACATACATGAGCCTCGGCCAGTCTCATTACATCCACTGTTGCCAGCAACCCATTTGCGTACATCTCTTGGGCTCCTGCATTGGATTATTTAACAAGTAACAACATTATTATCAAATTAAATTACGCTGGGAACAGAAACTGTTATGAAATGGGTGAAATTTTGAGAGTTATATTATATATACCTTTGAGATAAGCAATTGTTGCTGTGGGATTTCTTTGAATAAAGTCAGGACCTGTAATGAGACCTGGACAAATGGTGGCTAACTTTAAGCCTCCTTCCTCAGCTATTTGCCATGCAGCCTTCTCTGACCTTAGTTTGCCCAAGGCATACCATAGCTGTCAATTATCAAAAATCTATTAATCAACTAATCTGGTAAGACGTGACATCATTTACCAATAGAACTATTACACAGAACATAATGTAATGTGAACCGAATTTATGGAGAAATGCAAGGAAAAATACCTTCTTGTTTATGCAGAGTGGTTCATTACTCCAGCAGTCTTGGTTAACTACTTGAGACAGGTCTTGCTTGGCGCCTTCTCGCCAAATGCAGGCCAAAAGTGAGGATGTAAGCACACAATTTTTTACTGAGGAAGTTCTTGCGCATGCCTTCATTACACTCTCAGTCGCTTTCACTTCTATCTCAGCCATACATTTCTAACAAAATCAAATTCAAAGCATTGGTTAGTTGTTTATAGAGTAATTTTACAGAAACACAGTTTTGTTCCCTAATTCATAATTTCTAAGCATATTCTTTCCGGGGGTTTTGTTATGCTACTAGTCCATCAACGTTACTGGGAATATGACTCATAATACACAATGATATAGCTAAGTTCTATGTTAAAACTTCTTCGCAAATTGGTGCTCAATGTTAGGATTATAACATTCCACGTTACGACTCGTAACAACGGCCACATAGGCCCATATTTTCATGGCCAAAAGACCAACTTCCTGTTTTAGGCATTTATTATTAGTTTCTTTTTCAACATACAAGGGGTCTACTACACTTACGATGCTTGTCCGTTTATGATCTTTATTCCTTTATCTTTGCTGGGACCAGCACATAGCTCCAGAGTTAAATTATCAGATTCAGACGTAATATTCACAAGACAAAAAGATGATGAAAGGAACTTGAACCAGTAATACTGAATAATTTTGTGTTGATTGCTTGCTAGTAAAGATTTATGGTTGAGTTTAGTGCCTTCTTCTGCCCCTTTAATTTAAGAATTTGACTAGGTAGGTACCGGAACCATGGAACCATAGTTCTTGGTAGCTGGCACCTCATTAATGGAACCTCTGGTAAGTGCAACTACACAGTAATGCAGATGACAGGAAGAAGAAAAAGTTTGTGAAATCTAACTACCTTTTGGTACATTAAGCCACACACTACATGCAAGGGAAAAGCTAAATCAGATCCCATAACTCCACTAAATTGAGATCTTATAAAACTAAACAATATATCAATTCAACCATTATTAAGCATTCGTAACATTGTCACTCCCATAATTTAGTGGTACCCAATATGCAATTAAGGCCAATGGGTAAATCCCAACTATGTGCACTCACCCACCAATCACACTATCAAGTATCAAGTAAGAATATGTAGGAAAAATGGACATAATTCAAAGATGTTAAAGTTTCAATGCAAGGAATGAATAGAGACTTACAGAGTAGCCAGAGAGGCCAACAGGATCAACAAATGCAGAGGTGTGGAAGATGCCACGACAGCCCTCGAACGCTTCCACCACATCCTCAACTTCAGTTAGCTTGGCAGTAACCACTGACAAATTATTATTATACGTCCTCATCTCCCCAGAACTCTCCATCTCTCTCAATTTCTCTATATCTTCTGCATTTATAATTTGAGTTAAGGCCATACCAAACCCAATCAACAATATACATATTGCATTCACTTTCTTATTTTTTTTTTTAATTTAAATTATTTTTGCAGAAAACATATTCCATTGTGTTTCTTAAACAAAGTAACCCCATTTATTCAAACATACAGTTGATCGAGTTATTTTCATCCATTGAATTTCAAATTTTTTAAGGGGTAGGAAGGTTTATAATGAAATTTTATTGGAAAAAAACTATCAAGACAGATGTTTGTGACAAAATTAAAATCAAGGGATCTCGTATTCTCGTGATATAAAATAAAAACAATTGGGAAGTTCATTATATTAGTTCTTCAAGAAACAGAGTTGATAATAAATACATGGTACTTGAATTAATCATAAAATTAAAAAAAAAAAAAAATCAAATTTTTTTTTTCACAAGAAAGCCGAATGATTAAAAATAAAATAAAAAAATCATTTATTTTCTTGTGTCTTGAAACAGAGAGATGAAAGCGTTACCTTGATTATCAACAATGATTCGAACAGAGTATCCACGAAGCAACAGCCTGTTGACAATAGCCAAACCCAAGAACGAAACGCCACTAGTGACACAAACCACCTCATCACGGCGGCGCTCATCATCATCCATTCTATCACGCAACCCTCTGAACTCTTCATCGTCTTTCCTTCCGTTGACACCGGCGCAAGCCACCAACATGCGGCGGAGCTCCTCAATCTCCATCCTCTTGCTCTCTTCGGTCTGCAGAAACCCCATCTCTGAAATGGAATGGAGTTGAAGAAGAAAGCAGACAGAAATGCTTAAAATTCGTAAAGTGGTTTGGTTTGTGAAAGCGTTTCAGTTAAATATCTATTTGTATGTAGAAAGAAGAACCGAAATCCAAATGGCTACGCGCGGAGATTGAGAATAAATCGCTTATCATGCAAAAAAGTTATGTTGAATTTTTGCAACTCTGTAATGGCGTTGAAGAATGGAAGACTTTATAAATGAGCTCAGCGCGGCTGGACTTGGCTCACCTTGCCTGACTCGGTTTGGTTGTTGCAGAAAATGACACCGTATTACTAACAAAGAAATAAAACCTCTGTTGGTAAATATCGATATTGTCGTCAGAGTTTTTATGCAATATTAAAGTAGGATTGGTTGAAAATTAGAGAGCAGAGAGAATTTGAACAAGTCTAGTCACTAATTAATTTGAAGACTATATCATATAATAAGTTGAATTACGTCAGTTAATCACGGTTATTAAATTAAAAAAGTCATCCATTTGGGTTATATAAATTCAGAGGGTGAGATAATGAAGACGTGAATTATGTATTGGAAAACGTATAAAATAAAGTTGTATTTTCCGTATACTTATTATTCGAAGTTCAAACTCAAGGTATGATATATACAAAAAATAAAACAATTCATTGACATCACTATCATTGATGTAATCAAGAGAGTTATTCAAAAAATTGTTTGAAAAATACTATGGTAAGAGATTATCACTAGGTATCCCATTCCTATTAATTCTATCGTTAAAATGTTTCTAGTGGGAACTGAATTAGATTCTCTCCTTTTCCTTTGTACGTACTTACATTTATTAAAGAATAGGGCCAGCAAAATAAAAATTATTTACCTAAAAATGAATAAATAAAATATTAACAGTTAAAAGTGAGGGCGGCTTATATTGTTTTTATAGTTAATGATTAATAAAGAAGAATAAATTACAAGGGTTCATGGGTGGTCTGGTCTTCTAAATCGCCCAATCATTCAATATTGATAGCCAATACTGGGTAAGCAATTTGGGCCTACTCTCCTTCTCGGCAATTTAACAAAGTTGACCTTGTGATAAACGTTCCAATCTTCATAGCCCGTCAAGTTTTAACAATCCACTCCTTCCTCACGAAACCATTTACTTATTTCCGCAAGTTTTATTATTAAAAAAAGAGTAACGGACATGTTCCCACCCAAGGTTAAGCGAAATGTAAAGTTCTCACCCTAGTTTTATAAATTTCAGATTCTCACAATAGCGAATCCAAAAATTTCACTCGATGAAAGCAAAAAATAAACCAAAAAAAAAAAAAATTAAAACCAATCATATTCATACTTTTTTTTTTTTTTTTCATTATGATAAGCTTCAACAAAAAGTTATAAAATACAAATAAATATCTTTTAAAAACACAATTTTTGTAAAAATAAAACAATTTTTCTACAATGGTCCTCGACGAGTTTTCATATTCTGAAAACATTGGATAATGATCTCATCATCAACTGTATCAAATACATCTTTCTCAATATAGGTGACTAAGCAATCATTCATCCATTGATTTTCCATTCGATTGCGTAACCAACTTTTTAACAAGATTCATTGTAGAAAAAGTCCTTTCAATGATCACAGTCGCAACTAATAAAACCAATGCATGTTTCACAAGCTTATACATCAACGGATACAAAATGTTTTTTTTAAACTAAACTAAAATCTTAGTCAAATCACCAATTCCTTCTAACTCAGCAAAATTTATCACAAGGACGTCTGTCAATCACATAAGTCCTACTATGGTTCTCAAGTACCATCAACTCAAGTGCAAAAAAATCAGTTGGATAAAACTAAGCAAAACGGATCAACTTATGTTTGTCAAAAGCAGAGAATGAAATACTTGGATCTAAACATGTCATACAAAGAAGCAGCTCAGTACTAGCCTTAGTGAAACGAGTGTTAAGTTCTTGAAGTTGCATATCTATCACTGTATAAAACAATTCAACTCAATAGTGATGCAAATTTTTTATGTGCTCAACTCTTCGTTGTGGCCGCCTTCGAATTGCAAACATATCATCCATATTCAAAATGGCAATATTATGTTTTTTGGCAAAATGAATAAATTTTACTCAACAAAGATTTTCATCATTCATCTCTCAACAATTGTAACCGTTGTTTTGGAGACGTTGACTAGGGCCGTAGCATTTACAATGTCTTGATTTTTTCTCTACAATGCTTGTGACAACTCATTAGTAAATGCAAAATCAAAAGAATAGATTACATCTAATAGATTTAGGGGTGAAATCGAATCAAGTCGGGTATTCGGTCAATTGAACTCAACTCGATCTCTATTGTACCGAGTTCGAGTTCGAGTTCAAGCCTGATCAAACCTGAGAAATCAAGTTCAAACTCGAACTTGGTACTTGAAATTGGAAATCGAGTTTGAATTCAAGTTCGTATAATAGGGCTTTTTTTAGGGTTTTAGTCGAGTTTTATTCGAGTTTTAATCGGGTTCAAGTTTGAACTCGATTTCAAGCTCATCTAACAGGGGTGCATTTGCAAATTTTATAACGTTTAAATTACATATAACCCCTATTACTTTAAAAACTGTCAACTTAACCATCGAGCTTGGAAATACTCGCGAATATATTAAGTCGAGTTTTACTCGATTAACTACTCAAACTTGACTCGACTAATGCGGAGTCGAGTTCAAGCCAACATCAAGTATAGTTTGAGTGGCTCGACTTGATTTTCACCCCTAAATAGATTACATGGTTCACCCCTTTGTTCAAGATTTAAACCATTACGTGCAAACCTAACAGCTCTTATTCCTTTCATTTTCACTCTCAATAAAATTTTTAAAAACTAATAGATCCCTTTGCATAAAAGTAAAAATCACAAAGAATATGTAATAAATATATTAGAATTAAAAACGGGGTTTTACAAAAACAAAATCCACATTTACCGGGCCGGCTATTCCGTTCTCAAAATCTCAAAGATTTATAAGGATAAAATTTAAAATAAATAGAAATAGAAATAGAAAATCTGAAATGTTTAAAAAATTGAGTGGGGGTCGTGGTCCCCACTCATCATTCATTAAATCTGCCCCTGGATTCTCACCCTTAAATTAATACTGTTAATGAATTTTGACTTCTGAAACAGCTGCAAGGTGTGTTATTCATGTATTGCCCTTACTTTTGATTTCACTGTCGCCCAGCCATCATCACCATCCAGCCACCCATCATCACCTTTCAACACCATCATGACTAAAATCCCAAAGTCACCACCACCATCGCAATCCCTCTAAACCCCAAAGTTAGCCTCGCTGCCACCAAACAACCACCACATACCAACACCAAATCACTCACAAATTCAACCACAAACAAACTCAACCACAGTCACCATCACCACCCAACGTCACACCACCACTCCTATCTAATCACACCAGCCAGTTGCATCTATGAAACTCAATCGCGTCGTAGCCCTTCTCCCTCACCAGCCACCTCAAAAAGCAAAAGCAAATCCCTTGGACTTTTCTCGAACACTTGGTGGTAGTCACAAAAAACTTTAAAAATACCAACATCGATCCATCAATCAACCTATAGAAACCAATAATCTGTAGCAAAAACAATCAAACACCCCCAACAAATCAACCAGAAATCAAAATCTGTCCTCAATCTCCTACAAAAATCCAACAACCAAAAATTTTCCAAAACTTAGCTGCAGCGACGGTAGTCTTCGAAATGCTCCGTTGCGACAAAGGAAAATGGCTAGAAGGGCAAAGGTCAACGGCAGAGTGGTCATGGTAGCCTTCGTAGAGCCTATTCCGAGAAGTGAGAAGAGTGAAGAAGAAATAAAGTAAGAGGAAGAGAAGAAGAAAGAGAGGAGGAAAAGAGGAGAAGAAAAACAAAAAAGAGGCAGTAGTGGTAGTGTGGTGTTAGGTGGTTAACCGGATATGGGAGAGAAAGGAGGGATAGAGAGGGGTGGGGCGACGGTGGTGTGGTTTGGAATGGGGTGGGTTCAATGAGCATTTTGCCCTTTGACCATTTCATTAAACATTTTTCTATTAATTTAAAGATGGGAATTTGGAATTTATGAAATCAATGGTTGAAACTTGATATTTTGCTTAACCTTGGGTGGGAACATGTCGTTTGCGCATACAAAAATGGGTCAAAGTGTGATGTTGCACTAATGACAGGACCAAAGGAAAAATGTATTTAGCAAGTTGCATTTACTGAGGTTAAAGTGCCAGCAAGCAGGGATGGGCAAAACCGAGTACCCGATCCGAATGCGCCCTTTCTCTACCCCACCCGAATATTCAGGTAACTTAAAAATAGTACCTAGTAGCTGAACCGGTTTATGCAATACCCGAATATGTGGCTACCTGAAATTTCAGTTCGGTTACCGGGTAACCAAATGTGAACCCGAATTTCCAGCATAACCTTTTAATTAAACATAAAATGTTTCTTCCAAAATTCCTCAAATTTTAATCAAACATAAAATGTTAATTAAACTTGCAATATTTCTTCCAAAAATAAAATGTTTTACACCAAATCCAAATATCCAATAAGAACATATTTCTTCATCCAAATCCAAATATCCAATAGCAATCTGTGGTAGATTTATTTATCCAAAAATACATGGTTGAAGTCTAAAAATACAGTGTATTGCAATGAGATAATGGCTGCAATATTTTAAAAAATTCAAAATAGAAAAAGGAAAAAGGCAATGAGATTGCATATTCTACCTTCCGAGGGTTACACCACTACAAAATGCCATAGAATCATCAATCATCTAGATGACCACGAGTATTGTCCAACTCCATAGACAAAAATTCTACAAAAAAGTGGGAAAAAACTAAATATAAGTAAATATTCAATATTTGAAACTAAAGCAAAAGTTTTACCCAACTCCATTTCCAATAATTCATCCAAGCTCTCATCACTGAGGAATGTGCACGCGTAGCTTGAATCTAATCTTGTGAACCAATCAGAGCCTCCACCATCTTAGTAGTAAGGGAGCTACAAAATTGATCTAATACACGACCCCCAGTACTAAATGCTTACTCGGATGCAATAGTGGAAACAGGCATAGCCAACATATCTCGTGCCATTAAAGAAGGAATTGGATATCTTGTTGAATTAATCTTCCACCAAGTAAAGATATCAAAATTCTCATCTTCACATGAATCCCATAAATATTTATTGAACTCAGATTTGGGCTTCAAAGCACGTTGTCCAGCCTTTTGTTGTTTATACCTAGCC